ACTATATAAATACACATCCATGAAATAGAAATGGAAAAGAAAATATATTTTTCAAACATTTATCTGATCACTATCACTTTATGTCAATAAGGTATATAACGTGTAATGTAAAGCTGAAACAACAAAGAACAGATATGTTAACAGAATATTAATTCAAACGCAGATTCGGTGAATCTATGGCAAGAAGTGAAAGACTCCTTATAAAGGACAATAACTCCAGGTATTCCGGAGAGGTAAACCATGTAAATGTTGGCCAAGCCAAGTAATGTCACGTTCCCAATTCAGCACAACCTAAACAATAAAGGAACCACCAGGCATACTGAGACTCATCAAACACGTCAATGAGATCATTACGATGACCGTAAACCCTTCACCATATTCTTCATCAACCTGCATCTCTCGAAACCCTGTGTTGTGATCTCATTGAGAAATATTCTATTTCTTTGTGTTGCAAAGTTTGCCTGTTGGTTCCGTTGTTATTTACCTTGTTCTCGTTTGAGAACGTGACATTATTTACTTGAATTGACCAAGATTTACAAGGCGGGTGTCGTCCATGAAGCATCAACCTGCATCATTGGAACCCCTATGTTACGAGATTATCTTTCAGTTGCCGACATCTTAAACAAATATTGTGATATATGTAACAGGCCAATGAATATCGAATTAACTCCCATATGTAAACATCATAGACTGGGGATGCAGGGATGTTGTTATAAAGAAATGGAATATTCACAATTGCGAAACTGAACTCACCATGCTTATAATACAATTTGGTAATAAGATGTCCATGTTGGCTTCACATGAAGAAAAAAATTGAGTAAAGCGACTGGTGAAACTTTTTTCTTGATTTTCAAATCTGACAAGTATATACGATTGACGAGGTCAGTATTTTTTTTATTTTAAGACAGACGTCTTATCGGAGAGTGAAATTGAATTACTTTGCAAGTTTTTGGTGGACTGTTCTTGTAAGCTCTTCTGGAAATTCAACCTCTTATGAACATGTCAGTCAAGAGAAAAGCACATAGGTAGTCATTTGGAAGATTTTACCAATCAAACTCGAGAAAGATATTGTCAACCAGAAACTCGAACATCTAGATGATTTCGCCTACCAAATATTTTTATTAAAATGCACATTATTTTTCACAAAAAAAAGTTTTTTTAGTTTACCACCATATATTTTAATAACAATTGAGAACAATTGAAAATGAAATAAGACAACGCGTTTTGTTTTTAGATATTTTTAATGACTGCAATATTTATTCATAAAATGAATAAATAGTAAAAGGGATAAAATGATAAATTCTTTAGTTAACAGATAAAAATATTGTTACCAATACTTATGAACACACAATAGAACTTACCTTACCATTAATAGCAAATAACCCAAAATGATAGTGTTAGAAAAACAACATTAATACTAAAATCGAAATTCGAAACCCCAAATTTTAACATACTTATATATTTGTGAGAGTCTAAGGGAACTGCATTTATCGCAAATTAATTCATTGCCAACAAAAAGAGAAAACAACATCGTTAGAATCATATAATTACCTATCCTTCTTTGATCATATGTTCATCACCGTCATTTCACATTCGTTGCATACTTACTATTAATATATAATATATATCACAAATAAACATGGAGGAAAGTTAAACGATACTTTACATGGTCCAAACTAATGAAGTAAAAGATTACAAAATTCTAAGTTGTATAAACATATCAATTTCATAAAGGAACAAATTAATCAAAACATATGTTATAATGTGAACAATTTAATTTTGGTTGAATTAATTGAAAACAGAAAACCTTACATGTTCCTACATTTATTTAAAAACCAGTCATTAGTGATCATTCTACACAAACATTAGTTAAAGAGAACAGAATCTGACAACGAAATGACTTAATTGGTAACAAAATACACACATTGTGAAAATTTCATGATAATGTTCAGTAATGCTTTTCACTTTACTCAATAAGACAATTGAAAAAAAAAATCTTTTCGGAAATTGAACTGCTGACAATAAAAAAAAACTATATTATAGAATTTTTTTTAAATATCTCGAAATCATGTAATGTATACATGTGTAGAATGATTTATAGAAAACTATTACATAATTTTGATTCTTTCTAAATATATACCGGTAGGCAAATGAGAAATGTTAACCATACAAAATATCTCAGTAAGGTTTATTATCAAGATTTTAATCTGCCGTATCGAAACTCTGTGGATCTGTAGTAATTTAAGAGTATTTATTTGAAACCATGGTGTGTATCTTAGAAGGAATTATCTTATATGGGATTTTGTTCATTTTAAAGGAAATGTACAAGAAGCTTCACAATAAAAAAAATGCAAAATTTGCTGATTGTGTAGCCTTATGTTCTCACTTTAAGCTAAATTTAAAACAAAAAAACAGAAAGCATTGAAGATGAACCAAAATAATTGTTCTTTTTATATAATTAATGCCCTGTCAGCGATTACAGGTTAATTGATTATTTAACCAGTTTATTAGTCAAAATGTATGTTAATGAGATATTCTTCTTCAGAATGTTTTTTTTTTTTTTTTTTTTGTGAATTTTGAAATTCAATGGACAAATAATACTCAATTAAAACAAGTGTCGTATATTGCAAATCGCTTCATATATTTCATTGCATACAATAAAACCAGTACATGCCTGTGCTGTGGCAGAGTGCAACACGTCATTATTGTCATCATCATCCTGATTATCCACTGCATCACGTTTTATAAAAGGTTGCTTTGATTAATACCAATATAGTGTAGAAACAAATCCACCATCATAATATAAATTATGTACTTAACAACTAAATCTAACATAAGTTTGATAAAGTATACAAAGAAAAAATATAAATGAGCTCTATATACAACGAGGACCACAAATCGTCACATTCCCACCTTAACAGGTGAACCAGATATTATACACATGTCAATCATTTACCTGCCATCGTCACCAGTAAAATAACACACTCTGGGGTGATAGATGAAGTATTAATAAAGTAGTTCATATCAGCTAATCTATTTAAGAGATCGGACATAATAAAACCTGAGCACAGACACATATATCAATATGCAGAAATGTAGTTTATGTTGTGGTATCCTTACATCACATAAAGATATATTCACAAATATATATGTATATTTATGTACATAATTTCATCGACTCGTTTTTGTATCAATATGCCATACTAGATGCCTTAAAAATAATGGGTTTAATGACCAGAATGGCCCCACATTAATTTACATTGAAGTTCACCTAATCGTGAAGCAATAAAATTGAATTCAATATCCCATTTTTGTCACAAACACTTGTTTACTAACAAAAATCTTATCAGAACAAACGGTTGAGTTTCTCTTTCATTATGGTATTAATTTCGGCGAATAAGAATTCATATAGTGAGTCAATCTTTATGATGGAGTGAAACGTCCTGTCATTAGCAATCTAAACACCTGCAAGTAACAGATGTGCATACCAAAGAATGAATGTTACTGCTTAGATTAAAATTCAATATATTAAGGTTAAAATAAAGCATAACTAGTACACATCCTTTCTAGCAGAATTAATTTACTAACATTTTTCTCTTTTTTTTTCAGAATTGGAAAGTACGTTTTCATTATAAATAGTATGTATGCAAATCGAATTTATGTCTTCCTTTTTTATTGTTTTGTAAGCTTTATGTACATATACTTTTATATTTTAAGATCATTATAAACATGATATTTACAAAACAGTAATTATTCTACAGAACTTTACATTAGTATTTACGAAGAGGCATACACAATTCATTATCACAAATAATTTTCTAAACACCATAATATAGGAACATCTATTCACCATGATATCATCATTGAAAGAAGAATGAGACCAAACTTACTTGATAACAATCACGAAGAAGTGAAGCAGCATTACCACGACCATTTATAACATTCATTATTAAATTTCCCACCGTATTTAAAAAAAAAGAAAAGAAAGAGAAGCTAAGCAAGGTTGGCATTTCGCATTAACTATATTTCGTTACAGAGGGCATCGAAACTTGGTAGGAAAAGTTATTTGATGATGTAGATTTGTGACGCTGTTCTCTGTAAAAGAATCTTAAGGATAAATCAAATATACATGTATATATATATAAATAGATTTTGGTGTAACTTGTGCCTTCAGTGAACAATATATAATGTTTCAGTTACACAAAGGCACACATGACTAAAGGGTAACGGAGGTGAGTATACCAATATAACGATAAATAATAATGCAATTATCACCATATCATAAGTACCACCTTATATCAAGTCTCATTAAAACCTATCTACATTCCAATTCTTATTATATCAATGCTTACTAATGTACTATATGTTTGAAGTGTTGTTTTAAGTAACTGGTTTTGTATAAGAGAAATAAGTAAGTATATATCTGAGTTTGCTGCTTAATTAATCACTATTTTTTTTTTTTTTTTTTTTTGTGAGGAGCTTATTTTATTACACTTTTTGGAAATTCTACTCCAAGAGTTGATAAATGAATTACTAAATCATTTAATATTTAACATGAATTTTCAGTATTTGCAGGAGTTCCATTTATTCATGTAACAAAGTGCCCATGCAGAAGTATTTTTTTTTCAGAAAATCACGAAATTTGACCTCCACAAAAACATGATTTTAAAGTATCTTCGAAAGTCCTTAAAATATAATAGTGCAAAATAAACTTTGTATCATATTTATATAGTCAGAGCGATAGATGACCGTAATTACAGTAGTAACATATAACAGAAAGATAAAACCATAGCTTCAACAAGTATAGAACATAAAACACTTAATTAACGGTATAATTTAGTCTATTAAGTGGAACATTTGAACACATTACAATAGGCGCTTAAGAACTCATTATGGCAGGAACAAACAATCGAGTAAACAATATTATGAAGCTCCTTCACCAAAAACCAAACCGTATCCTTTTCAGACTCTCAACAGTGCTTATACTACAACTAAATCCATTGTCATTTTAAACCACATCACTTTATTTTTTCAAGGAGTTCTATTTCATGAATAGATAATATTAACGTAGATCACGGTTGTCTGTATTCATCTGTATAAATATAAAATGATTCGTACCTAAAAAACGTATCAAGAACACGGTACACTGTCAAGGATGAACACGTTTGATGTTGAATTGTATTTCGTGTATGGAAGAAATAAATACCATAAAAATAGGATCCATATCTAATGTACTACCTTTTAAATTCTCAATTTGTGGAAAACAGCAATTCCATAGAAAATGTTTTTGTCTTGACCTGCCATTGTAGAACAACTTTTTTCACAGATGTGACCATTATAGACACCATCGTCATTGTATGTCTAAGTACTTCGATGATTTTCATCATTTCACTGTCTATGACTTAGGAAGGATAAGGTCTTTTGTGGTATTAACTTCAACGTATGTAAGTCAGTTGCACATTGATCTGAAGTGGAGCAAAGAACAAAACTATTTCACAACATCAATTAAGAACTATTTCAGGATAATCAGGCAGCTAGCTAGATGAGTCCAATGATCCGTTGGTTGAGGGAAACACGTTGTCAAGCACATGTTCGGCGCCTCTAGGTAAAGGTATACCTGTACTGGACCCAGAGCTCGTGCTTAGATTGTCATTGCTTCCGACAAATACATCTGAAAGTCAGCAGAAAACAGAATTGAATAAATTCCATACAAAAAAGGAAAACAATGAAAACAAATATACAGCTCAGTACCATATTATTTGATTTGCTAAATGAAATGCAGAATCTGATTTTGAAATAAAAATGGTTTGAACTTATACATGTAGATATATTTTTAATTCCGTCCCAAGTCCTGAAATCAATAGGCTATATATACATATACATCTTTGTCATCATAACACTTCTACCCGACCTCAACTAACTAACACCTGGAATAAAGGCAAACATTGGTATGACGTTAAATGTTTCTCGGTAAGACCTTAATATAGAGGATACAAATTATACCTATATTCATATAACTTACAACTGTATATCTATAATGTAAATAAGCGTAATGTTATGTTGGTATGGACACATGAAGAGGAGGCAATAACCACTAGCATGCATAGATACAACTGGTTTGAGTTCAAGCAGGAACAAATGTGCAAACTGTTCACTCTGTAACATATTGTCACTTCGAGAATAATGAATACAATGCCCCTAGTAACTAAATCAGTGTCTGGTATCTTTTTTTAAATGAATAAAAAAATCATCATCTAAGCAGTGTTGATTAAAACCAATCTTATTAGGATATTTTAGATTTATCACTAAATGTGAACAAAATTAAAATATAACTGAATGCTACTGCAATTAATTTCCTGACACAAGTAATCTAATGAAAAAACGCAAGTATTGACTGTAATGGAAGGCATGACTTGCTATTTCAAATCTTAACGATATTATAATGATGCCTAACAAATAACTTACATCCGTCTTAAACTGTGATAAGTGACGAGGTGCGACCAGATATGGTCATTGAAGCAAAGTGTCAAATCAAAAATTAGACCTCCATCTGCGGTTCTTTAAAAACATGTTTAACACATACCAACCTTCTATTATTTATTTCTAGCTCACCGACTATTTGTACACGAGAGCATGAAAATGGTCTGACAGCTTACTGTTTACAAATAGTAACAGAAAGGTGGGAGTGAGTATGTTCAAAAAAGTGATTCATTCAAACTTATTCGATTTTGTTCACATCAGTTCACTGCATCACATGCTTGACTTGCATATGGCTTGTTACCATGCAATACTTCTTTTCAAACCTGATCAAGGTCAACATTCAATTACTTCAAAAATATATAATATTGTGTGACAATTGTGCCATTAGGTGTCAAAGTTGGGAAACAAACTGTTGAAATCTTTATGTGTGACCGCAATTTTACTAAAATTTGTTGTCGCCTACCTTCAGGTGAGCCAGTGCTGTGCCTTATTAAGAATTCCAACAAAACATGACACTTGATTTTTGAAAGCATATTCCTGTAATATGTTATGTCATAATCACATACACTAATGACTGGGTCTTCTGTCATGAAGAACTAATTTGAGGACACCATCATTAGTTTGACTTTCCCTTGGGAAATATCCGAAGCTAAGATGCTATGGTTGTGTTCATGTTCGCAATATCATGCTAAAAACACAAAACTATTTAACATTTTATTTAAAAACAAATCTGATTAAATAATTTTGTTCTATCGATTAACATGTCAAAAGGGTCTTTATTCCATCTCAAAATTAAATTAAACTTCAGCAAAATATGAACAGAAGAAAAGTTGAAATAAAGAATACCAAGAAATAAAATCATGTGTTTCAAAAAGGTAGACATCTTCTGTTTCATTGCTGACACCCACTATTTAAGTCTTGGTCAATTCAAGAAAGTGATTTCAAAATACCTAATATTTGATATCTGTAGCAAATAGAAGTTCTTTTATCAAGTCATTAGGATATTAACTTTTTTGAAAGTTAAAGTGTTTGGTAATAACATGTAATCATATACTAAACAGAACATTAATTGATATATCATGCGGGACTGCTTTTGTCCTTAAAATAATTGGTTTCATTTTCTATATCTGAACCAATCACATCGATGTTAGTCTCTATAGGTAAAAAGATGGCATTCTTCTACAGATGTTCTTATTTAACAAGAATAAGTTCATATCTGCGAATTCCCTTTTTTCCCCATCACGATAAAGAACCTCTTTAATTCATAACAAAGTTGCCATGACAACAGAATGATGCACTTCTATTACATTTTTAAATCTTTCTAGATAAGATACATAATGTATCAGGTGATATCCTATATAACTTTATATCAATGTTCAGGAACACAAACTGCCATGTGATGAAATTACAAATGGACAGATGTTGAGAAATATATCTGATTATATAAACATCAGAATAAAATGAAAAGTACAAATATCTTTTAAGATAATAATGAATAAGACATTACTTTGAAAGGTCTAAAATTCTGCTTGTAAATGTCAAGTGATAGTTTCTGATTTAACTGCAAAAAATATACTAAAGTCGATCTTTCATAGCTTTATTATGGAGGTGTTTTTCTAACTCTATCCAAGCAAGTTATTTAGGACCTATAAAGGTCTCTCACAAATCCATCTTTACAGTCTTCTTTTGTTATGTGTAGAGACTATTTCGATGGAAAATCTATTAATCATCGATGACTGAGAAGATCTAGACAACAGAAAACATGAATTACTCGGCACATGAAACAAAATGAAATTAGGATATATAGTCCTGTGTTAGCTGGTAATTCACCCGGGGTATAAAGACAATCACAATTGGCGTGTAATGTCTGACGACAGTGTATGAACCTCGTATAATTCAGGACTATCATATCGTCATTAACCCTACCTTTGTAAACTGCCAGCCAGCTGTGACCTTATAATTATAGGTAGAAATTGGGTCTTAAGGTTCTTGGCATTCTATTTAATACCCATCATAAATCTATCCAATCCACTAAAACATATACTGCAACTTGTTTTAATATCTGCCTCTGTCACAGGTGTACTCTTCAGTTTTATGATTATTAAAGCAAAGATATAAATGAGAATCCGTCTTTGACAAGATCAGCTATCAAGTTATTAACCCGTGGCCAAGGATTTGCTACCCAATTCGCGATTTCTCCAACAAAACACTGACATGGTGATACTGGAGGATTAAGTAACAGTAATTACGGGATGAACATAAAGCCCTTACTACCAGATCTTATCCATTGTGATGGAATTAGCCATGTCACGTAAGGATAAGTGTAATTAGTTTTCTTTCGTCACAGTAACAGGGAGACTTTTCTCAGATTGTGGATTAATAAAAATAAACATACATTATCTTAAATATCCTGGGAACGTGACTTGGAAAAAAGTGATACCACATAATCAATATTGCTAATTTTCATACAGATGCGTTTTGTCTATGTATGTTTATATTACAGTAATTGAAAAAAGTCATCTTTCAAAGACAAGGTGATATCTAAATACCACGCACCATGAGATATGTCCACTTTTAATCTAACAGCCTGTCTATGAAAGAAAGGTAAACTTAAAAACTGTTTCTTTGGCGGAAGCCAATGAAAATAATAATTGTAAATATACAAGGAGCCAGTCTTCATATTCTATATGTATTATATACACAATATTCAGCCTTCATAGTCTACCTTAATAAAATACACAAGGATCTAGCTTTAATATTCTCTCTGAATTAAATAGAAATTGAGCCAGTCAGAAAAAAAAGATAATGCAAATCATGACATTATCCACCCACTCACTCCTACCCAATGTTTAATAGAAAGAAACACAATTATATTTATACTGCAACTGGCAATGCCGTTGTTGGAATACACCTGCCTTATATGGAAATGGAAAACAGCTGTATTTAAGCAAGTGCGGTTATTTGACAGAATTACTCTCTGAATTTGCTTAAATATTTCATTTAAAACTATAAATAGTTGTTGAAATAGACAATTTTACATGTTGTAATGAACAAGTTGATTTATGAAAATTCATAAATCGCTGTTATATCTGATGAAGTATGTTTCCATGTGCACAGAGAAATTGTTTTGAAATCAGGCAAAATTCAGCGTAATGTCAGCTTAACACAGATTGAACGACAAAACTGTTTGTTTCAATAGTCTGATTTTTAATCAGTGTTGCTGGATGAATAGAATTCATTTTCAGAGTCTTAAAATATAAGTTGTATTTTGGCTTGGGACAGAAAGACAAAAGTGGCTCACCAAAGGCTCGCCACTTTTGTCTTTCTTCACCCTTGCCAAAAAACACTTTATACTTTCAGACACTGTCCATGTATTTTCTATATATATATGTTAATATTACAACAAGTTCAATTTCTATTTGTAATTTCTAAATGTTCGATACAAAGTATTGATTTGGAGAGCTTCAACTAGAGTACTAGCCTGATACTTGTACAAAGTTTTGAGTCCTGGGTAATTACTTTGAACATATTAAAATAGCTGATCTGAAAAAAACTGAACTTTGTGGTTTGGCCTATCTGTTTCCATGGTAACAGAAAAAGTATTTAATGGTAAATTTCTAGTAAATCAGACAATGAGCTAGTCATCCTGTTTAACTTGTAGTGAAAAACACAAAGGACTTGCAATTCTAACTGTCCAAAGCTATCTGTAGTAAAATACACAATGAGTCAGTCTTCATATTTTATCTATAGTAAAATACACAATGAGTCAGCCTTCATATTTTATCTGTAGTAAAATACACAATGAGTCAGCCTTCATATTTTATCTGTAGTAAAGTACACAATGAGTCAGCCTTCATATTTCATCTGTAGTAAAATACACAATGAGACAGTCTTCCATTTTATCTGTAGTAAAATAGACATTGAGTCAGCCTTCATATATTATCTGTAGTAAAATACACACTGAGTCAACCTTCATATTTTATCTGTAGTAAAATACACACTAAGTCAGCCTTCATATTTTATCTGTAATACTATACACAATGAGTCAGACTTCATATTTTAACTGTAGTAAAATACATAATGCGTCAGCCTTCATATTTTATCTGTAGTAAAATACACAATGAGTCAGCCTTCATATTTTATCTGTAGTAGAATACACAATGAGTCAGCCTTCACATTTTATCTGTAGTA